GCTGGTGCAGGTGCGGCCGGCGAGCTGGGCTGTCTCCAAGGGCCTGCTCCATCTTGCCGAGCTGGGGAACAGGCAAGAGTAGCCAGTCTGGCTTTAGAGAGCTCCCTGCAGAGGTGAGGGATCCAGCAGGGCGACAGTGGCTGGGGACAAGGGACCATGGTGTGGCCTCTGTGGCATTGCACCACGGCTAAGCCGAATGCTTTGGCGTGGTAGCTTGTGCTGTGCTGCCAGGCTGCTTAGGATGCAGGATGAGTGTGGAGTCTGGTGGGAAGGAGCTGGTGTCTGTGTTTTGTGGGGGTGGCAGCAGGAAGCCCGTGACCTGCTACCTGAGTGGAGCCAGACAGGGCCAGGGTGCTGCTCAGGGAGGGGTCGACCGGGCGGAGCCCTGCACAGTTGCTGCTGTCTGTCACCCTGCACACTGAGGACGTGGCACCTGCCAGCTTGGGGCAGGGCTCACTGGCGCCTTGGGCATTAGCTGCAGCCGTGGGGCTGGCTGGGCTTTGGGGTGCAAACCATGGGCCCGTGGGCTTGCTCTGGCTTTCCCTGCCTCAGCTTCCTCCTCATACTCCAGACACCTACCTTAGACCAGAAAAGGGACTAAAAAGGGTCATAAAAGGGTGCTCCTGCTTCCTGTGCCACAAAACAAAGCTTGGATGCCTTCGTGGCCTCTGGCAGACAGAGCAGGGTCCCAGGTTAGTTGTCCCCCACCTCCCTCATTGGTGTGCCCACCGGAGTTAGGCCAAAGTTATGGTTATTACTCTGAAATCCTTATAAAATTACGGGAAGCAGCAGAGACGGTGCAGAGAGGCCCCAGGTTCCCCTCCCAGGCCCTGACGCTGATACAGTGCATGTGAGTATCTCCGGGCCGCTTCCTGTCACAGCCAGGTTTGTGTCCACCTCCAGAGCTGCGGTCAGAGCCGGCCTGTCTCCGCCGACGTCTTCCTCTCCGCATGGCACTCAGGCCCTCCCTCCTGCTGCTTCTAACCCCAGTCACCCTAGGATATGTTCACCATCTTTGTAAGATTACTTTAAATTGTGAATTTGTTTGTTTTTGTTATACATGTATATAACAATCTCCTAGGAATGTCGGGACATGAAAGGATGATTTCCATCTTCCGATCTTCATACCACTCAGTCGTCTTGGAGCGTCTCCCATGCCGTTTGGGGTGCACATGTGTGCATTTTATATATCACGGAGAAGCCACCCCCACGGTGTGGTGCAAGCAGCATCTGGGAAGCGGAATCTGGCGGAGGCAAGGGAACAGGCCGAAGAGTAAGGTGCAGCAGTTGAGGCCAGCACTGGTGATGGGGTGAAGAGTGTCCTTACCAGGCTGGGACACTTGGGGCCTGGCAAAGGCAGTGGGGACAGAGCCTGGTGCCCCTGGGAGGCCTGAAGACTGTGACTCTAGACTTCTGGTCACAGTGGCCTCTGAGCAGAAGAGACCCGAGGCCTGGAGTGTGGCTGCAAGGACCGTTGCTACCTGCTGTTGCGTCTCCTTCTAGGCCTGGCCACTCCTCTCCACCCCCAGTTTCACTTGCTGGCACTGGCATTGGCGTCGAAGGCTCTCTGGTTCCTTTCCTTTCCAGAGCGGCTTCCCTCTCTGTCACCCTGCTGCTGGCACAGTCGGGGCAATCGGAGTGTCAGTGAGTGCAAAGCAGGGATGAGAAGTCTCTGAAAGTTGTGAGCAGCGCATGCACAGAGGCTCCTGGAGAAATGCACAGCGCAGCCCCTCTCTGTCCCCGCACACCACTCCCTCCATGCTTTGCTACCGTAGGTGCCTGGAGTGGGAGTATTTATAGCGGCACCTCTTTTGCTGGGGTGTTGAAATTTCTTCTTTGTGGCACTACACTTTACGAAAAGGTAATCAAATAGCAGACAGTGCCATTGTGTCCGTGACATTTTGCTGTGACTTTACCGAGGACTGAGAATAAGTAGAAAACAGAAGTTCTGAAATTGTAATCTCCTAAACAGTTCGCAGACACATCAACGCAGAAGGGCGTTTTATATTTTTAAAACTACCCCCAATCTTCCTCCTAATCTTATAGCAAAAATGCCCTCTGGGCAGGCCTCTAACTGCAGAGCACATCCAGAGGCCGGCCCTTTATGAAAAAGTGTTTAATGAATCTGAAGTGTCGCGCGCACCTCGCCAGCAAGGAGCACGCAACACTCAGGATTCTTCTGATGCACGCTTACTTCCTCCTACTTATAGCAAAAATGCCCTCTGGGCAGGCCTCTAACTGCAGAGCACATCCAGAGGCCGGCCCTTTATGAAAAAGTGTTTAATGAATCTGAAGTGTCGCGCGCCCCTCGCCAGCAAGGAGCACCCAACACTCTCA